GGGTGGGAACACTTCTGGGTGCTGGTAATGACCTCCTTCTTGATCTGGGGGCTCACACAGATGTGCTCAGGCAGTGCAAACTCACTGAGCTGCACACGTATTAGTTGTGCACCTTCCTGTATATGTATGTTACACTGTAATAAAAGGTTGTTTAAAAAAAGTGGACAGAGGCCAGATTGCACTCAATTGCAAAGTCCCACGTTTTAAGATGGTTTGACAATTTAAAAACACTGGGACAATTTAAAAACACTATGTCATTGGGATTTTTTTAAAGACTTGATTTTGCTTATTTTCTCTTCCAGTGTAGTTTAAATAAATTAACTCACTCCGTTATCTTTAAAAAAAAAAAAAAAAAGGAAACAGAGAGGCTGGGGCACATCCCTTCCCCCACCCAAGCCTCCAAAGGTCACTAATTCTAGACTTTTTTTCTTCACCATTTATATTTATGTGGTTGCCCACTGCTGCCACAGAACAGAGGGATGAGTTTTTTAAAAATTCAATATCAGATACTCTTTCAGAGGAACCCTGGGCCGATTTCCTCATGTTAAGGCATGAGAGCTGACTCAGGAATGACAGCATCTCACGAGCTCGGCAGGTCCCAAAGAGGGTCCTCAGGCTGACCCGTCCCACTTCCCTCCTCACCTTGTCCTGTCGGTCCAGAGCACAGCCCTCCTGGATGAGCGCCGCGATGACCTCGGTGTTCCCCACCACCGTGGCCCGGTGCAAGGCGGTCTGATCCCCCTGCGGGTGGCGGGGAGACAGGGACAGCAGTCAGCCCTCCCCGGCCCCTCACCACTCGCTCCCTCCCTCCACCCGACACAGGGACATCCCCATCACCGAGCGCCAGCCCAGCCGGGCTTAGGTGGGCTAGTTAGTAGACAGTGCATGCCTGGAGAGTCATTTTGTTCACAAACTCAGTGGTAACCCTAAGCCAACTGCAGAACAGCCCTGGGCCACAGAGCCGACCTCTGGATGAGGGCCACGCCAGGGGACGGCAGTGTGACGGTCACATCTGTGAAGAGTGGGTCTGCGGGCTGGGCTGTGTGCTGTGCAATGGAACCAGCAATGCCTGGAATCTCTACTCCCTGCTGAGGCCTCCCGTTCCGCAGGGTCAGAGGACTCAATGGACTGCTCTGTCAGCTAGCGGCACTCACGACCGGAGAGCGGGTGTACATGCTGATTGGCCCTGGCCTAGAGCAATGCAGGGGTTAAGCTAGGACACCTGAGGAGGCCAGGGGCTCAGGCTGTCACTGCACGTCTCTCAGAAGCCTCTTCTGATGTTTCAGGACAGCATCCTCGCTGATTTATGCTGCATTTGACCCCTTTCTCTGTGATCAGATTCCTGGGATTGCCGACCTGCTTCTTCTCTGTCAGGGCGCCAAAGGGAACTTGACTCTTCCCCTAATTGCAGTTGAGAGAAGGACTAAAATCCCAGAAGTAAGACCGTCAAGTCTGTAGCAAGAGAGAGTTCTGAAGTCTCTGAGGGCACATCTTATCTCTGACAGGCACTCAGGATATCAAGTCTGGCCTGGAGCGCAGGCTTGAATAGAGAGATGCGTGAACGGTGTGGAAAACTCCTGGTGGGACGGAAGGGGTACAGGGCAAGGGGGTCAGGAGATATGCGTCACGCATAGCCTTGGGAGACACCTGTCACCTTGCTGGACTTCAGGTTCTTCACCTGTGAAAGGAGGCAAGGTCCCTCCCTGCCCTTCTTGGGGTCTATGATGTGGTTGGCAAGAGTTTTACATAAACAGCTTTCTGGTGGAACACTGCAGGGGCAAAGGACATGCCCTGGGGCACTCCTGGTCCTTAGCCCGAGAGAGGAAAGAAAGACAATTAGAAGACAGAAAACATGGAGGATTTTTAAAGAAGGATGCACTGCTACCTATAAACTGCCTTAATCAAATGCTGATTCTACTTACATCCCTGGAACCTGTAACAAATGACAATGCACTTTAAAAGCACTTAATCCAAAAAAAAGTTCTGGGGATGGATGGTGGTGATGGTTTTGTAACAATGGGAATGTACTTAATGCCACTGAACTGTACACTTAAAAATGGTTAAGATGGTCAATTTTATGTTATGTATAGTTTATGACAGTAAAAAAGTACTTAATCCTACTTAAAAACCAAATTCACATTCTTAAAATTTTTTTAAATCTCCCTTTAAAAATCCATGAGGGGAGGGACTTCCCTAGTGGCACAGTGGTTAAGAATCCACCTGCCAATGCAGGGGACATGGGTTCGAGCCCTAGGTCCGGGAACATCCCACATGCCGCGGAGCAACTAAGCCCGTGCGCCACAACTACTGAGCCTGCGCTCTAGAGCCCGTGAGCCACAACTACTGAGCCCACATGCCACAACTACTGAAGCCCACGCACCTAGAGCCCGTGCTCCGCAACAAGAGAAGCCACCGCAATGAGAAGCCCGCACACCGCAACTAGAGAAAGCCAGCACACAACAACGAAGACCCAACACAGCCAAAACAAAAACAAAAACAAAAAGAAACATGAGGGGAAATGATTTTTATTTTCTTCCTTATACTTTTTTAATACTTTCCAACATTTTACACATATAATTTCTAGCATCAGGAAAAACTGCTATTTATTAAAAGTCTAAGCTGTACCAATATACCAGGAAAGGGACTGTCCATGTCTCAGAAGCTTTTCTCACTGTTCATTCTGCCGTGATGGATCCAGACCTCCACTCTCCCATTACCATGATTCCATCCACTGTCCACTGAATTCTGTCACCAAACCCTCCCCTTGGTATCCTAAGCTATTATTCCCATTACAAATTAGCTTTAGTTAGCTTGGTTTTCTTCTCACCCACCTTTCCAAGACCCCTTACTCAAAGAGGACCCTTTCTGTGTGCCATGCAGTCAAAAGCAGAACATGGCCACTGGGTCAGTGTTTGCACAAGGTGTGCGAAGCCATCACACATCATCTTCAAACAACTTAGGAAGTGTTTCCAGATGAGGTGTACTTAGTAATCATGAAAAATTGCCCAGTCTTAACTTTTTAAAACTTCTATAAGAATCTCCAAGACTGCCTGTTTCTCTACCAGCATGGTGATGGGTTTTCCCAAAATGGACCCCAAGTGCAATTTGTTACTGACCTGATAAGAAATGTGGTGCCCTGTTCTCAGCAACAAAAGTAAGGCTGCAGCCCCCTCCTTCAGGGTAAACACCGACTCAGTCAGATTTCTAATCATTAGAGGCCTTTTGCTATTCCCACAAGCTGCCGGCATTCTAACTAGCACTCCTTGGCCCAATCAGAACAACCCTTTTACGTAACCAAATGTAACCATTCTGTGCATGTTCTGCATAAAGTGTGGGCCGTGTGGGCCACTCTTGCTGCTAAGTCAAGGTGCAGTCTAACCTCAGCCTGGCTTCAAGTCAAATGCTTTATTGTGTTTCACGGGCTGCCACTAAATCATGAGTTGAGGCAGCTTTGGAGCCCGAATGTCACCAGTATTTATTACTTGCTTTTAGCATGAATCTCCTGTACTTGCTCCCCTGGGGGTAACATTCCTTTGTGAAACTCTAGCTCAATGCAAGAAGCTAAATCTCACTTCTAGTTCAGCCCTTAAACGTCAATTTCCAGAGGGACGAGCAAAACGCGCAAGGAGACTTGACCACCTGGGTGAGGCTATGGTGGGAACAAAGGGTCCTCAGGCACCTGGCACAGGTGTCTCCTGCGTGTCCCCTTTCCTGGCCCTGCCTGTCTCCAGGCCACAGCCTCCCCTCCATCTTCACACCCCTCAGTCACAGACCCGCTCAAAGCCAGGGTCCTTGCCCCAGGTGTCGGATATACA